GTAATTGAGGTCGTTCAATATACATTAAAATAAAAAAAACGCAACATTACGTTGTCTGCAAAATATAGATTAAGAAAGATTAATTCTGGATTCCATCCAGTTGACGTTGTCGGCGATTCAAATAAAATTTAAAGCTCATGTAGAAACAAAATTTAAGAACATTTAGATTCAACACTAACATGCCGATCCGAATAAAAAAAAGGGTAGGAATCCGATCTGAACATCGGAACGGATACTAAAAAGCGAAACGCATGGGCGGTGCGGTGCGCTGCGCCGGCGCATGTGTCAACGTCCGCAGGTGAGCGTGTCATTGGACAGTTGGAGTCATTGTTACTACCACCACACATAAATACGTACACAAACACACACACATACATGCAGACAAACACACACACACACACACACAGACACCTTGCGCTCACCAACTGATTACTTTTTAATGTTTTGCAAATTATGACCTTTAGATATTATTTTTTATTTATAATGTTAAAAAGTCCTGGGTCTCATTCAGTGTGGTCAAATAATTTATATTAAAACCATCGTGGGCTGTTTCTTATTCTTATTCATCCTGAAAATGAATGCTTTTCTTGATAATAAATTAAAATATAACTTTATTAATTTGAAAACGGATATTACTCGAGTTACTAAAGATATCAACTACTTCTGAATATTGTTTAAAAGCTTCTCAAATAAGTCAATTCGTTCTCAGTTACTATAATGGATTCATAAATTCAAATACTATTCAGACGACAAAAATTCATTCATCTTTAAATGCAACAGGCACTAAACTTCTCGGTTGTTGATGTTCTTGATACTTAGCAATAATACGTCTGATCAAAAATCGTCTTAAAATTAAATCTTTCACTCTGTTCATATTACGCACATACCTTTATTCGGTAATTTATCATATTTTTGAATGTTAAAGGCCTATAAGTATTAAGTCTATATTGATTGTAACAGTTATATAGAAACCAAATAAAGATGTTAATTTCGTAAAAGTTCAAAGCCTGTGTCGGTGTTTTTTGATCGTTTAATAAATAATCATGAATCAGTATGGAGAGAAGTTGCCCAAATCGTTTTTGCTATTCCATTTGTTGTTTTCGTTTGAGTAATGAATGACAAACGAAATATTTATAAGACTCTGTTCTTAATTATACATGTTAAAAGAAATCGTTATACATTTAAACATGCATATGAATTTATTTACATTACTTGTACTTTTACTCTGTTTTTATTTATTATTTGTCATTATATTGAAACGGATGAAATCGGGTAAAAATGGGTAGTATACCTAAAGAGTTCTAAGTTCCATAAATATTGTAAAGTAATTTGAGGACGAATCGAATTTCCCAGATAAATATTAGAATTTCTCAGAAAAGTTAAGAGTTTGAATATAATAAAATCTAGATTATAATAATTTATTGCTTCTATTCAGGAGAATTAATATAATTATAGAAGTTGTATTACCCATATATTTTTGATTCACTCTACATACAATAGTGTCTATATTAAGATGTTTTCATAAAAAAAACATTAGTTGAAGATGTTATCCTTCGGTACCCAACTTTCTCATGATTCCATACTGAAAAAGGTAAAGTAATATTCAAAGGCCTACTTATTTTCACGTGTGACTCAATTCGATAAGTACTATATAGAATTTATTACACAGTAACTTACGTTCTTTGTAGTTATCTCCAGAGATGTCGCCCACATATTTCGTCGGAGCTTACCGGGATATTTGAATATTATTTGCTTGTTTGTAATGCTGAGTGTATGGCTTATGATAATCATTTTATTCATATATAATAATATTTTTGAATACGTGACCTTATCTGTTGGCTATGATTGAGAGCTTAGTTTATCATTTACAATTGAAATCTCAAGTTTGATATAGACATGGAAAATTTTTAAGTTAATCGGTGTATAGATGATATTTAGATCATAATTGTAATCAATTAAAAAAATTATATATATGAGATATAACGATACTTACGTGTTTGATCTGTCACGTTTAAATTATAAGACGAATTTGGATGAAATTTATTTTGCACGTGTTTAAGACAAGGACATAAGGTAGGCCGATGTCCACAAAAAATGGTCTGTCCCCAGGGGATAAAACGTGTTATATGAAACTTAATATGTATAGACAAACTATGATATGAAATAAATATTTAAATTCGCACTATATGTAGGTAGTAATAACCGATATGAAGTATATTTTGTTACTTTTATAAAATATACGAGTTAAGAAGGGAGATGTCGCAAATTGTATCGCGTTTGATAGAATTATAAGGGGTTGTCTGTTGACAAGGGATACCTGATACTTTATATATATTCGATTGGAAGCGATCACTTTTGTATTTCTATATAATGCTCTTTTTTTTATTTAACCCAATAAAATACGATGACGTGAAACAGATTTCGAAACGTAATATCTTTTTTAAAAAAACGATTGTTAATACACTCTTTTTTATAAAAACTTTTTTTATGGTTAAAAGCGAAAAAATGTATGGAACAATTTTTTTTGTATTAATATCTATAAGTATTAGTTTGTATAACCAAGATGTCTTCGCGGCCACGTCTTGATCAATTTCTTCGAAGGTGTGCTGGAGGTTTTATTGACGTTCGCATCTCATAAGACTTATATTTTATAGAGTCGTAACAGTTTTTTCATTCGTGATCATGCTCAAGATACCTTTAATAGCAAAATGATCTTCACTTATATGTCACTTATATATATAGTATGTAAGAGGCTCGTTAAGAACTAATAAGATGTTTTATTACCTTTATGCCTAGATATAAAATGTTTTTGATTGTATAAGCGCACTAATACCATAACATTAAATTCTCTTAAATAGGTATTCCAGTTTATCACGTCTAAGTTGATTATAAAACCTTGCCTTGCTTGATTAAGATTATTCCTCTCAAATTGAAAGCTAAGCTAACTATTGAAGTATTTTATAACGAGGTCTAAGCTTCCTTTGTAAAATTTATAACGCCTCAATGTGTTTTCTCGCGTTACATTAGCTGTTATCAAGTAGCATGTAATAGAAAACAACAAATTGATCAATCAGCTGTGACTATGTGTGAGTAATTGAACTTGAAATTTCCCACGCTGTGTTTGAAATCCTTTCAATATTGTGAGAGATATCTGTCATTACTGTACACAGACAGCCAGTCATCATGATTTCTTTATTATTTGATCTTGTTACAAAAAAAATTCTCAATGGAATTATAAGTGCGATCCTTGTTATAATATAATCACTAAATAATCTTGACGAGTTAATTAGTTTTTTTATGTTCTTTCAAATTGAAAATGTATTTTATATAGTTTGTGATAATTACGTATAAATAAGCCAGGCAATATCTCTAGTTATTGGATGCTAGACCGCGTCGGTATCTGCTCGCAGATGCGTGCAATTGCTACTAAATTACACGGAGGATGTTGCAGTCGTTTTATATATACATAATGATTTTATAAACATTTGAAGTACACAAGATTATAGGTTAGCTACTAAATTTATATTAACCGACCTTGTAATACTGAAGTCTCATTATCTTAGATCAGATTCTATTAAAAATATCTCGTTATGTTTAAATTATTTGTTAAAAATAAGATTATAACAATAAATATATATAAAGACGCGTCGAGTAAAAGCTAAGCGTAGTTTACAGAGTCCTCTTTCCCGTTTTGCAATCTCCATAAACCAGCTAAACAGAGACTGAGAACCTCACATCAGTGGATGGGAGTTGGGAGGAGGGGGTCTCCTGCTACTGGTTAGACACCCCTTCAACACTTAGGGCGCATTTACATGGACGCATAAAAGCGATTTCTGGTTTTATGCCGATGTAACGTGTTAAAAGTGCTACTTCATTGCGCTTTTGAGATTTTCTGTCATTATTCTTGAGGAATGCGAGTTATTAAGAGTTATATACCTACTTCTTGTGAATAAGTTCCGCGATGTTGTTGTATATTTTATTATTAAAACTAATGTTCCGTCGTTTTAACAATTCGTCAACTTTATATGTATATAGTTTAAAATATTATTTTGCGTTATAAATGTACATATTATGAAGTAATTTCGTCATTATGAACCGGACCTTAGTAGTTAAAGTTTTGAAATGTCTTTCTATCAAGAGAAGTCTTTTCTTTCATTAATCCACAAACTAAGTCCCGCTTACTTACAGGATCAGTTTTCTATCGTATATTATCTTTGATCTTTAAGAATACTTTTGTTTTTAATATAACTTAAGCCATTGAAATATAAAAAAATATACATAAATATCGGTTTAGCATTAACGTGTGTTATTATTTAATCTTATTTCATTCAAAATCCTAAACTAAGTATGAATTCAATTGTTCACATGAAGTGTATATTGGTAGGACGCTAATCTCTAGAGAGTTGGCACATAGCAGCTACACGTCTTGTTTATAACATGGTCCCTCAGACCGCGTGGTTGCTGCAAATTAAATAACTCTGCAGCATACGAGCTTCAGAGGCCAGGATTCAAGGTTTAATTACTAAATCGTTTAGCCGGCTATACAATGCTGTTGCTACCATAACGTCTCTGTCTAGTGCCAGTGAAATTAATTTTTATATCACTCAACTTCTCTTATGTTAAGATTTTACGAAATATTCAAGAGAAAAAGCTTGTACAAATTACGGTTAGAAAGAGCGGTTTTAATTTAGACAGTCGTAACTTGCGATCGTGTGAACGAAACGGAATATCAGCTGATATTATAAAAGTTTTAAAAATAAGTCAATATTGAAAAAGATTTGGTCGGGAAGTTTCAAATTAAGATTTTTGTCAACGAATCCTTTTGTTGAGTATTGACGTATTCTTGAATTATGTGTGTTTGATATACAGAGAATAATTATTAAATGTTGGAATTATATCTAATTTTTAAACTGTTTGGACAAATTCTCTAAATTAATGAAGAATTATAATTAAGAAATTATGTAAGGGAAGAGTAACAATTGTTTGTATTTTGTCGTCAGGTCACCCGTCCCGACGCGAGAATGAATTTAAGAAACCCGCCCACGCACCACAAAATGGCCGGGTTTACCACCGACCTAACATCTACAATAAGGTAAGTGCGATTTTAAAACCTATTAATATAAATAACGCTATATCTAAAGTGGTAACTGTCATATTCAATAATAAATCACGTGATCCTTTCATCCATGAAACGTAACGGCCAAAATAAATGTTGTATCGGGGCTCGCGTGACCGTAGGCCCTAAATACATTGGAGCCGTCCTTGAACTTTCACTAGAAACGACAGAGTGTTTTGTAAACCAACACACTCATAACGTGCTATAATACCCAAATAAAATTAATTAAATTGGAAATATTTTCCTATATAACAACAATATTCTTTTTCTTTAGGTATATAACGTGATTTTAATCGCCATCTCAACCAATCGATGCTATTATAACAATTTAATATGATTCATTATTAAAGAATCTCATCTCATCCTAACTCCGGCCATCAAGAGCGACGTTTAAGACTATCTGTAAAGACTAAAGATGCTATAAAATTCTAAGACGTTTACTTAAAATTAATAAAGCGATTACATTGTTATTGATATTATAAATGATACTCTGTTTGTCACACGTTTTAGTGTAAACGCATGACATCTTGTTCAAATACAGTATTATTTATGTCATGTATATAATTAATGCAGTTTTCATATTAAAAATACATTTAAAACGATCTAAGCCACGATAGAAGTGTACTGTGAAAATAAAAGTTGAATTTTAAAATATAGCTCTTTGAAACTTCGTTAAGCTGTAAACGTATTTCATAAAATCGAAGTAAATTGTGGCTGAGTTATGCTTAAAGGGAAAAGTTAAGGAAAGTTGTTGAGACGCTCTATAAGGCTTCTGACCGCCGTTGAGGTATTTTGATTTACAAACACGTGTTTTATTGTTACCTTTTATATAAAAGGGGTTTTGTTAGACTTTGCTTATATAATATTATAATGTTACATTTATTTTAACATTAATTCTAGATGCAAATGAGTTTATTATGAACATTTATGTAACACAATGTATATCATTGAACTATTAGAATATGTCTTCTTTAAAGAAACTATAGCTATGTTTTTTTTTAAGATGTATTGATAGATATCTAAAGACACAAAAATTGGAGCTACATCAGAACAAATTTTGTTAGTATTATATGTTTGATTGTTTTTCTTTCAATAACAGAACGAGGGTCTGAATAGTTCCGGTGTCCCTGTTCATCGTCCACCTCCCTTACGGATACCAAACGGTATTCAGTCACAGGTCAGTAAATATTATATAATAATAACATATACTTATGATAAGGGATGGGGAATATTAAACACTGTTTGAATCTTCATTGAGACTTACTATGAAATACTTGAATTAATTTATTTGAAACTTTATATACGGAAAAATCTGAATAAAATATGAATAATGTTGTACCTTTTTATACATATAATGTTGGATTTGTCTTATGATTATACATTTAATTATGATCATAACGGAAAAGTGTGCAATCAAAGCTTAGGGTACCAAAATTCTTACATTAAACTTAATAAAAATAATAATATAGATGACTATTTAAATTTATGTATGGTAATATACACTGCCGGCCAAAAGTTTGAGACCACCCTCATCAAAGTATGAAAATGAAATAAAACTCAAAAAAAATACGAAGTAAGAGGTTTAATTAATAATTAACATACTTATACATTCTTCCTACACATATCTCAGGAAGAAAAAAAAATTATTTACATCAAAAATGCCGTTAATATTTAAACAGATTTTTCATCAAAAAACCCTCCCTTGCATTTTATCACTTTTTTCACTAGTCTTGGCATACGACCAATCAATTTGTCGATTGTTTCTTGTGAAATATTGTTCCAGCTTTCTTGTAAAGCCCTCCACATGTCTTCTTGCGAGGAGGGGCAACAACTGCGTACATTTCTATCAAGCTCTTCCCACAAAAGCTCGATCGGGTTCAGATCCGGGCTCTGAGGGGGCCACACCATGTTTTTTAACACTCCTTCTGTTTCTTTATCTTCTAAATAACCCCTGCATAATTTTGAACTATGTTTAGGATCATTATCTTGTTGGAAAATAAAACTATTTCCAATTAATTTTACACCAGACGGAACGGCATTTTGGTGTAGTATTCGTTTGTACTGCTCCTTTTTCATAATTCCTTCGACTCGTACCAAATCTCCGGTTCCATAGCCCGAGAAGCATCCCCAGACCATAATAGAACCACCACCATGTTTGACGGTTGGCACCACACAGTCTGGCATCATCTTTTCCTCGGCGCTACGTCGAACAAAAATTCGTCTCTTAGATCCAAATATTTCAAATTTGGATTCATCTGTCCAAAGAACTTTTTTAAAGTCTTCTTCAGTCCAGTCTCGATAGGTAAGGGCCCACTGCAACCGTTTCTTTTTGTTTTGTGGCCTAAGTAGTGGTTTTCGAACAGCAACGCGACCAAATAAGTTAGCATCTCTCAATCGTCTTTTTACTGTAGTCAGTGATACAGGTTTAGACCGGGATTTGTTTACTTCTGCGCGGATTTCGGGTGCTGTTAGGCGTCTATTCCTCTTGCTGGTAACGACGATAAATTTATCCTCGCTAGAAGTGGTAGCTCTCGGCCTTCCCGATCGCAAACGATCTCGATAACTGCCAGTCTCCTTGTATCGGGCTATTGTGTTATGAACACAAGTCTTCGACAACTTAAGTTGAGAGGCAATCGCACGTTCAGATTTACCTTCGTTGTGTAAAACAACTATGGTACAACGAGTTTCACTGCTAATTTCGCGCACTTTACCCATTTTAAGTGTTTTCTTTAACAGTGACGAGCTCAGACTAACCAAAACTTAATTTTATAAAAACTCAGGTAAAAAATATGTTATAGAAAGCGAAAATAATCCTGAACATATGTTTTTTTAGAAAGCTAATATAATCCTGAACTTGAAACAACACCGAAATTATTAGTAATGAGCAGCTCATAAAAATATTACAATGACTCTACCATCTGGTCTCTGCGCGGCATTCATTAATGTTTTGTAACAATAGACCTTTATAATATCATAACTTACAAATATACGAAAAGAATGACAATAATTAGTAGTTTAATAACTATAGAATACGCAGATATTCAAATCAGCTATTTGTCATATGCACTTTTAAAATATTTTGTTGGTGAATAAGATTTTTACAAGTGGTCTCAAACTTTTGGCCGGCAGTGTATATTAGATTTAATAGCATCACCACTTACCACCATATCCTCCATAAATAAAAGAGTAACAGTAATTTTCCCTACTTTCAAAGACCAGATGACATCCTCTGTGCGTTGACAGAGCGTGAAATATTAAAACAAGAACTGGAATGATTTCGTATTTCTCTAAAAAACCCGACCTAAAACTGTACAAGAAAATTTTAAATTATGTTTCTTTTATACTGAGATTAGATTTTAAATTTATATTAATATGTAATGAACTCAAATCTGTCTCGTATAAGACATGTGTTTCGTACACATGATTCTATTATATTGTATCATTGTTTCCATAGAGTAACAAACATTTGCTCAGCCTCTAATATTGTTTGTATTAAAAACAAAGTTTATTTCTAGGCCATGGCGGTTGCCGCCTTAGAAGCTTGTTTAGACTGCTGACTTAGGAAGTTTTCTCTTGTATATATTTCTAACTTAACTAACTATATACTATTGAATTGGAGCCAAACAACTTTTAATTGTTGTTTTATAACTTTATCATTGCACTCTGAAATATATCTTGTGCTACTTACTTGCATTTGATGTTCTTGTATTAAATAAAACGTAAAAAATATCGAGTATAATTTTGTACATTTGAAGCTGCAAGTAGCGTATTAAAGCAGCTAATAATCCAATAAGCTATTAATATAGTATCATCAGTTTATAAGCTGTTTACAAGTGCTCTCAGTTAATATAATTAATATATTAATAGAGTCGGGCATTTCAAACACTAACTACTAGATGGTTAAGTTATTAACTTATTACATATATCAGATTGATCCACTAATATATGTTAAGTTTGAAGTTAATTTTAACTTGCTTATCTATTTATATATAAGGTATAACTTTAATTACATATTGTGCTGTATACAAATAATTTAAAATTTTCTATTTTAAAGGAACAATTTATGGTAGCAATTAAAATGTATTGCATGTAAAAAGTAACCATCTCTCGTTTATTTAACCTCTAAAAGTTAACGGATCACAAAGTTTTCTTAAGTATTAATAAAATATGTAATTCATTGAAACGCCTTTTACGAGCCCATAATTTCTATCGTTGTGTTTAAATTCAATGGGTACAAATAGTTTTATATATAATTTTATTGATACTACAACACTGAGGACGGATAAGGATAAACATTTGTTTTACTTTCTTGTATATTAAAATAATATTACGATAATGTTTGCTATATACAATAAATTTGCTGCTGTATTTTTGTATTCAATACATTATTATCTTTTCACAGAATTCCATCGACAGTCAACCGCCGATTGAAAGCATATTAAAGGTGACAAAATTTACTATAATTCTATTAAAATTTTTATATTATATGGATGTATATTATTTAATATACTATGTATGTCACACGACACAGTCCTACATTCAGTATAGTAAATAATGTTTCATGTTATAAATTGTTACATCTGATATTCATATTTGTATTTCACGTGTTTAGATCCTTTGAGAATTATATTTACATAACACGTTTAATAGCTGTTCTATGTTTAAGTAGCGTTAGTTTTTTACAAATATAATTCTTTTAACAAGTATAATTTATATTAATTCCGTTTCAACATTTAATATGTTATTTTTCTTATTTTATTTATTTATGAATTTGATCTTCATTAAACGTTTAATAGTTTCTGTAAATTCACAGAGATAGTTATTTATATAAAATTAACGATAGTATTTCCAATAAAGAATTTATATACATCTATAATGGATTTATTTCTATAATATAAAAAGAAAAAACAGATTATTTCCATTGCTTTATAAATATATCATATATATTTCATATTCTAGCAGAAATGTATTTTAAATTTTCCAACAGGAGATGAAATCACTGCCGACACCACTGTCAGTGATAGCAGCGACGCCGAGGAAAGAGCAAGAAAACAAATTCATATTCAATCCTTACACAAATAAGGTGAATATTTTTATATTATATGTTTGTTATTTATATATAAAATTAAATTAAATGTACTAATAATGATTAGAGAGTATAAGTTATAATATATCAAATGAAAACTAAGAATTATTTAAAGTATATAAAAGTATGATTAGATAAATTAATTGTAATATAAAATGTTGTTAATTTAAAACTTATAATGTTAAATGTCGCAGGTGCAAGAGAATCCTCAGCTAACAAACAACGGTCTCAAAACACCTATCACTAAACCCTGTAAGTTTTTTATATTTTACATACACATATACAGGGTGACTGGTGAATTACTATCAATATTTAAGGAGAATACTCGGTACATGATTCTCATTCGAATTATGTAAAAAAAATAGGTACTTAATTTTTGACTAAATTTCCGTATAAATAAATAAAGTGTGTACACGTTTCAAGTGTTCCAAGTGTGGACGCGTGCGGCGGCGTGCTGCTACAACAACACGCCGCCGCGCGCGTATGTGTGAGTGTGTGTGTATACCTAATCTGTAGGGTGTTCATACGATGCGTAATTAATTACATAACTTTTGGTTAACTTTACTTAGAAGTTTATTAATATTTATGTTATATTAATTTTTATTTTGTCATATATGATCGTCAAATATCACGTCCTCAAATATCGATAGTAATTCACAAGTCACCCTGTATATTCAATATGAAAGCAGATTAACTTTATTTGTTCTTCACATACTGTTATGAAAATTTACTACACCTTATAAAAGTCAAGGTCTTGTGCACGAATTAGATTGTGTATTTGAATATAAATAAGCAATAAAATGCATTAAAGCACCTGCATTGGACATTATGAAAAAAAAAATAATTAAATTTAACATGTTCTAATCTAGTTGTTATTTTAAATTGCATCCGGATTTATTAAGCCAGGTGTACACTTATTTTAGGAATATTTCAAATTTAACGATTTGTATTGCAAATGTAAATTATTAAATCGTGTTAACAAATGAGCGGTGAATGTCAGTAATGTCGGTATCAAAAGGCATTGGGTGCAAGAAGTTGGACGGTTGTTCCATCCTAACAAATTGACTCCGCCTATGGACGGATTGTGAAACTTTGGGACAAAAAATATGAATTTAGTATGAACTTTGCGGGGAATTTCTTCTCTAAAATATAATTTTATTTTTTAAATAGTATATTTTTATATACATTTTTATCATTGAGATTACGTGTATTATTTTAATTCAAACGTCGGTGGATTTCTAAAAAAAAAGCATAACCGTAGTTTAGTATTGTTGAAAGCACGAAAGTGCGGTACAACTTTTTAAACCGCCACAGTCTTCTTTTAAGAACGAAAGTACTACTTCAGAGCTTTTTGTAAATAAAAACTCAGCTCGCTTGTGAATAAAAGTTTCAATTGAACGCTGTTTCGAAATACGTTATGTTACCTATAACACAACGGAGACGCGTTCAAATATTTATATGATTCAACGTAACGTTCGGCCCAGTTAGGAAATAAAAGTTAGAATGAATTATTAGGTAGTTTACACGTATCGGTGTAACGGATCGCAGCGCCACCTGTCGCCGACGCGGATAAATAAATCGCAACAAAATGAAACAAGCGCGGCATTCTGAGGCCGTGTCGCGTCGCGTCGCGCGATAAACTCATAAAATAAACGTGCCCGCAAAAATATTTGCAGCGCTAACTGAATAATAATGAATACGAACGGATCTCGCTTCACCGGTAACGTGTGCAACCGGCTTTATCTGCAATCTGCTTAATGTCATGCTATTGTAACACGTCTGCTTCTAGCAATAAAATATAAATTTGCCTGCCAAATATATGACAAAGGCTTCGTTTACGTGCTACGTTAGCGTTAGGTAACTAATGGAATTTTTACCGATCGGCAGCCCTATGTTGACTGGCTTTGTGAATGTCCTGTTCGTGAATTGTTTGACTTGCTACAGTGTTTGTTCAGTTTCCGTTATATTAAAACTAGTGCCAGCTCGTAAGCTAGCCTGCATCATTATCATACTGTTATTTGCGTTTCTTCATGTAATAAACTGTAAGATGGCCATTAACTCTCCCGCCCACACCGATGATCGTTCGAGCTCCTTTTTTTTTTTGCTATGTCCAAGCGATGTTTATTCTCAATGTTCCGATTAACGAACCGGTTGATATTTCTCAAATGTTAACCGTTATTGAACTTTTTTGTTTGTCCTCTGCTCTGTTAAAATATTTCCTAAAATTCAGCCGAAAAATACTAACGTTCCAATATTTTCGACTCCCGGCACAGGCACCGAAAAGAGTCCCGATTTAATATTCCAACGGTTTTATTTTCGGACCTGCGATAGATAGCTCTTGGAATAGGTTCGAATAACACAGGGATGTATGTGACAACCCGCCGGGGGGTCTTTTCACGAATTAGATCCGTTTTAGATGAGAACTGGCTATTGTTCCTTTTTTTTTGCGTACAGACGGCTTGATTAGAACGAAAACACGTGGAATATTTTGCACTCTATTGTTATTGTAATAGGAGTCATTCGATATGTCACACGACCGGCCAACGAAAGTTAAACGGATGTAGCTTTGTTCGCTAACTGCAATCGAGACGGTAACGAGTAATTCCTTTGACAGTTTTAATACTATTAGTTTGTTGTTTGTTTGTTTGTTTTTTTTTTTTATTACAGTTATACGCTTTCTGTTTTTCATGTTTTATTCGTTAATTCACATAAAAATATACGTTTTATTAGAGCACTTGTATGTAATCAATAAGGGTGAAAATGAAACGGAATTCATTTTCCTTTATTGAACGCGAACACGACAAGCCAACTGAGTAGATCGTAAAATATAAGTAAATAGAAAATAGTATTACCAATAAGTGCTTTACCGGATAACGTTTTAGTATCCTGGCTGAAATGAAATGAATTTAAGACACAACTTCACAGTTAATAAATGCTCGTAACTGAATGAAAATATATATATAAATGGAAATTATTTTTAATGTATGATTATTTCTACATATAATTATATTCTATAGAGTTTAAAGTATTACAGATCACGAACATTTAAAGTTTATTATAAAAAAAATATTTAAATGTGTTTCGACGAAAGTCTTTATATATAATGTCGTTTATTAATATTGATGTTGAATAAATTTAAATTAATATTTATTATTGTAGACTCGATCCTGAACCGATCACGTTTATACAATCATAACTGGATAATTTTTAAAAAGTTTAGTCATCTACTAGTTTCTATAATTTATTTTATTTAAAACACATTTTATTTTGTCATCGGGCTGTAATTTATAATTATTTAATGTAATAATAATAGTCACAACTTCTGCTTTTTTTTGGAAAAAAACGTCTGTACGTAATAGTGTTTTAAACTTTTTTATTAACAAACAAACAAACGAATAATAATTAATTATATTTAGTATAAATAATAAACATAAAACTACATTTCAAGTTAGCCTTAATAGTATAAGTGAGTTTTAATAACAATCATTCCTCAATTATTTTAGTTGTTTCGTTATGAATAATTGACTTTATCTGATAGATTTATTTAGGGTCCTGTAGGCGGAGTGTTTGAATAAGCAATTTATTAATAGTGAAACATTTGTATGTGCGAGTGTTTAATTGTATTAAATGGTGTATTTATATTATTCATGATATGTATGGTGTTGTATGAGTTGCCTTCAATGACGTCAGTGTATTTTTTATTTCGCGTTGAACCTTGCTGTTATGCTCATATTATAAGTCAAGTTTTTCCTTCTAGCCTACGTATCTGTCACTAAATGTCCCGTTAGAATACATTATGATATTCAAATATCTTAAAATCTTTATACTTTACATACAATGACTGTATAAATTTTATGTCTAAATGTTCAAACCAATTATAAGTCTTCTATTTATATTGTTCGATAAGTTTTTTACTCCACCTGCGGTTGGTTAAATCTACGTCTTATTAATCGCTTCGATAACTCTATATCCTCTTCAGCCACTCGCCGATCGGTCAGTTCCACGTAATATATACACGGATATGGGTTTTTCTCTTTTTCCTATAACATCAATTCCTACCGATAAATTATCCCTATCCTATATCTCGAATCCAATATATATATATTTTTTCTAACGTTTCCTTTGATAACGTTATTCCATGTGATATATATTATGTACGTTTAAATAATTCCTTACAAATTTGTTAATTTCCTTGACCGTCTCTGAATGTAATTCGTTATCATTACAACCTGCTAGTGGCCGAACGTCTCTCTCTTCGTTAAGTTTTAATTAATGCTTGTACTTTGTAAGAGGCTTTTCTGTTTGATTTACTCGCTACTGTCTCGATTGTTCGGATTGTTAGCTAACTTCATTATGGTATCAATTTGTTCATTGTTGATGTTCCTCGCGGACATTTAAACCTATCATATTTTAAACATTGATTCAACAGCTCAGTTTAAATATAAACTTTAATATTATTTACATTGGAGTCAAAGTTCTTTGTATTTTACTTATATTAGAATGTATCTAGTTATCACAAAACAAATGACCTTCTCTATACTCTCACGTAATCTCATTGTTCCGACATGAGACTGCCTGCCTCACAATGCTTTTATCCGATAAATAATATGATGTAGGAAATGGGGAAGGATCTCACATAGTTCGCATTTTTGATTCGGAAGCACTTCTGTATTGAGAAGTTTAAGGAAGTGGAATTTTTCACTGAGATTAGTTTTCCACTCCGCAGCGACATTAGATGAATTAATCAAGCAGATCTTATTAAAAAACTACTAAAATAAAATAGGAACTTCAATTTATAATATATATTAATAGCTGGGTAATAAATTATTACTGTGTACAGCTAAAGTTTTATTAAAATCAGAACGTCAGTAATGTATTCAAAGCGGTCCGACTCACAATCTGGTATTAGTAAGTAAATTTATTTATGATTGAATCCATTTTAAATATTTATACAGAGAGTGTGATGTAACTCTTAATGTTTTGAAGAACGATCTTATATACAAAAATATATATTCTATTAAGGTGATTCAAACGTATCTATTTAGTCTGTTCTTTGTTACGTATATAATAAATTTTACATATAAAATAAATTGCTAATAAATCATGCACAAAGACATATATTAATAATGACAATAAATAAAATAAATGAATATATTTTTGCTAATGATTAATTTAACTTTCACATTATTACGATTATTAGTTGGTTAGTCAAAGGTAATTTGAAAGATAATTATTGTATTTATAGATATACAAGTTTAGTACGGGACCACACTTTGCCGGTCATAAAAATATTCATAAAGGTTTACATGAGACTGAGTTGAAATGGGAATTTTATTGCCTGTTTAAAACTAAGTAAAAATAATTCTTAGAAGCGTAACCGACGTACATTTTAAATACGTTTTTAACAACCGTTTAATATATCAAGTACTATCATATGGTAGTTAATAGGTAACAGCAAAAAGATACTGCAATGGAAAAATATACTAATTGCACATTAATATCACTCTTTTCGCTAATAAACTATTTTTAATAACAGGAGGATTATGTTACTACATATATTATTAAAAATAACGTTATTTTTTTATAATATATGCATATGTATATAAAGATGGATGAGAGAAAATCTATCGCTAATGTTTTTAATTAGTTTCACTTAATGGCATTCATGAACGATAGAACTGTCTCATCGAAAAAGGAATCCTGTCTACTCTACTTAAGGTTTAATATCCTATGTCTCAATCATCTTAATATTCCGCCATTTTGTTAGGTAATTTTTCCAAAGCCATCTTGTTTTTAGTAGTGATTTTTGCCGCAATTTAACCTAATGTTGTATAATTTATCAGCGTCTATAGCAGATTTTAATGTATTCAATGGACGGTGTCACAATCTGGTAGTTTTATCATGACTTGTGTCATTAATTGACTTGCTGTTGGCAATGAGAGTCCCCTTCGGACCTCATATAATATATGTGTATATTAATCAATATTATACAACTCGATCGAGCATTGCGAGCTGAAATATGTAATATTATCACCAAATAAAACAGACTTTAAATCTATGTATTATGGTTTTAAAATAATGTATATTA